ATATATATATATATATATATATATATATATATATATATATACAGGGTGTCCTAAAACTGGAAGAACATCCGTTAGAGGTAGGGGGTGCAATTTGGAATTGAAAGTTCCTCTTGCATTTTTGGGTCCGACAATTAGTTAACGAAATATTAAATGAATTAAGTCTGCCAATCTCTTACCGTCCCGAGTGAGCGCTCAGAGACGTAGAACGCTGAGGACTTCTCAGGGGCTCTTCTTGTCCGTTTGTCCCCCCTTTTTGTATCACAAAGGAATAAATGTGGATGAGTGAGTGAGTGGATGTGTGGGTGAGTATCTGACCGGACTAGGAGGGGAGGGGGTGGCAAGTTTTCTGTATGTGGGAGTAATGTGCCTCTCATACACACAACGCAAGAAAATCACTTACACTCTCCACCCCCTACCTCCCATACACACACACTAAAATTATTTACAGTACTCAACCACCGATGTGCAGAAAACATTCAAGTCACCCACGCACTCGAAGGAAGCATATCACACATGTCCTCCTCCTCCGGCATACAAAACGAAATCATTCCGCCCATTTTCACTAAAAACAATCAAATTATCCATACACTTATAATCGCACACAAAAATACCCGCACATTACTCCCACATACGGAAAACTTGCCACTCCCCTCCCCTCCTAGTCCCGGTCAGACACTCACCCACATATCCACTCACTCACTCACTCATCCACATTTATTCCTTTGTGATACAAAAAGGGGGGACAAACGGACAAGAATGGCCCCTGAGAAGTCCATAGCGTTCTACGTCTCTGAGCGCTCACTAGGGACGGTAAGAGATTGGCAGACTTAATTCATTAATATTTCGTTAACTAATTGTCGGATCCAAAAATGTAAGAGGAACTTTCAATTCCAAATTGCACCCCTACCTATCCCTAACGGTTGTTCTATCAGTTTTGGGACCCTGTATGTATATATATATATATATATATATATATATATATATATATATATATATATATATACACACCACTGGGACCACTGGGGCATAGTCTGTGTGACTAATAAACGTGATTTATCTTATTGCAGATACATAGAAGGAGATACGGTCGTTATCGTCTGTCCTCTTCTACGTATGCTCTACTCCCACTCCTCAAAAAGAGGCGAATGCTCGGTCTAGTTATACTATGTCTATAGATGAATAGCACTAAATAAAGTAAATCAAAATATATAAATATGTAAATCCTATCAGAAAAAGTGCGTGTTAACTAAATCTCTAATGTATCGAAGTGGGTGAAGCCTCTTTTCCGCGACGCTAATTGGCCGTCTCGACCGTCTCGATTGTCTCGATCCCGTCGCAGTTGAATTCGTGCCGCTTGCAGTTGTCAGCCGCGGTGACAAATCAGGTTGTGTTGTTCGCGCCATATAAATTTGATATTTATTGTAATCTCAGCAAACACAATGTTACATGTATATGTATATAAAATATGTAAATATGTAAATAATAAATAAATTTATATGTTTTCCATTTAAATGTTTTCTAGCTTCTAATGAAAATTTTGTTCGCAGTAAGAAAAAGTTAAGGACAAATAGTAAGAGCTAGCACAAACATATTTCAAATAGTCAATTTAGAAAAAAGGGAGAGTTCTTTTATTTACTTCCATTGTGAGATTTACTGCTTGAGAAGAATTCCTTTTTTCTCAAACATAAATGTTATCTCCGTCTGAATACAGAATACTGAATTCTTTGAGAATAGAATGTATTATATCTTCGACAAAAACTCAATCTTGAAAAAAAAATAACATTGTTCTTGTGTGAATAGTTTTATGACCTGGTAAATAGTAGCTGGTAAATCGAGAAACAGATTTTCTTTAAAAATT